CCCAGGTGTGTCCCCAGGTGTGCCCTCACCTCCTCGGATGGTCACGGGCCTGCCCAGGTAGAAGTCCCCCAGGGTCACCTGCTCTCCCTGTTTGGTGGCCACGATGCGCACGGTGCGAGCCGAGTCCGGGCAGGCCCCGGCGGCGTCGCCAGGTGAGCCCCAGGTGTCGCCAGGTGAGGCCCCCGAGGTGTCGGGACAGAAGGATTTGTATTTCCAGGTGACGATGGGGGGGGGCCCAGGTGAGCTCACCTGGAATTGGCAGCGAAGCAGAACGGGCTGGAAGAGCAGAGCCACGGTGCGGGGCTCAGGTACCGACACCTGCAGGGAGCACACCTGGAGGGGCACACCTGAACAGGTGAGACACAGGTGAGATCAGTGACACCTGGAGGGGCACACCTGCACAGGTGAGACATGGACAGGTGAGACACAGGGGAGACATGGACAGGTGAGATCAGTGACACCTGGAGGGGCACACCTGAACAGGTGAGACATGGACAGGTGAGCTCAGTGACACCTGGAGGGGCACACCTGAACAGGTGAGACAGGTGAGACAGGTGAGCTCAGTGACACCTGCAGGGAGCACACCTGGAGGGGCACACCTGCACAGGTGAGACACAGGTGAGACAGGTGAGATCAGTGACACCTGCAGGGAGCACACCTGGAGGGGCACACCTGCACAGGTGAGACAGGGACAGGTGAGACAGGTGAGATACAGGTGAGATCAGTGACACCTGGAGGGGCACACCTGAACAGGTGAGACACAGGTGAGATCAGTGACACCTGGAGGGGCACACCTGCACAGGTGAGACACAGGTGAGACAGGTGAGATACAGGTGAGATCAGTGACACCTGCAGGGAGCACACCTGGAGGGGCACACCTGCACAGGTGAGACATGGACAGGTGAGGTACAGACAGGTGAGATACAGGTGAGACAGGTGAGACACAGGTGAGACAGGTGAGATACAGGTGAGACAGATTAGACAGGTGAAACACAGGTGTCAGTGTCACCTGGGACAGGTAAGACAGGTGTGATCCCCCCAGTGTCACCTGAGCCCACCTGAACTCACCTGAGCTCATCCCTGATCTCACCTGAACTCACCTGAGCTCACCTGAGCCCACCTGTGCCCACCTGATCTCACCTGTGCTCACCTGAGCTCATCCCTGATCTCACCTGAACTCACCTGAGCTCACCTGTGCTCACCTGAGCCCACCTGAACTCACCTGTGCTCACCTGAACTCACCTGTGCTCACCTGAACTCACCTGTGCTCACCTGAGCTCATCCCTGAGCTCACCTGAGTCCCCCAAAGTCCCCCAAAGCTCCCCCGACTCTTAATTACCCCCTAATTACCCCTAATTAACTCCTAATTACCCCCNCCCAGGTGTGTCCCCAGGTGTGCCCTCACCTCCTCGGATGGTCACGGGCCTGCCCAGGTAGAAGTCCCCCAGGGTCACCTGCTCTCCCTGTTTGGTGGCCACGATGCGCACGGTGCGAGCCGAGTCCGGGCAGGCCCCGGCGGCGTCGCCAGGTGAGCCCCAGGTGTCGCCAGGTGAGGCCCCCGAGGTGTCGGGACAGAAGGATTTGTATTTCCAGGTGACGATGGGGGGGGGCCCAGGTGAGCTCACCTGGAATTGGCAGCGAAGCAGAACGGGCTGGAAGAGCAGAGCCACGGTGCGGGGCTCAGGTACCGACACCTGCAGGGAGCACACCTGGAGGGGCACACCTGAACAGGTGAGACAGGTGAGACAGGTGAGATCAGTGACACCTGGAGGGGCACACCTGAACAGGTGAGACACAGGTGAGACAGGTGAGACAGGTGAGCTCAGTGACACCTGCAGGGAGCACACCTGGAGGGGCACACCTGAACAGGTGAGACAGGTGAGACAGGTGAGACACAGGTGAGACACAGGTGAGACACAGGTGAGATCAGTGACACCTGGAGGGGCACACCTGAACAGGTGAGACAGGGACAGGTGAGATCAGTGACACCTGCAGGGAGCACACCTGGAGGGGCACACCTGAACAGGTGAGACACAGGTGAGACACAGGTGAGATCAGTGACACCTGGAGGGGCACACCTGCACAGGTGAGACATGGACAGGTGAGATCAGTGACACCTGCAGGGAGCACACCTGGAGGGGCACACCTGCACAGGTGAGACATGGACAGGTGACGTACAGACAGGTGAGATACAGGTGAGACATGGACACATGAGATACAGACAGGTGAGACACAGGTGAGACAGGTGAGATACAGGTGAGAGGTGAGACACAGGTGTCAGTGTCACCTGGGACAGGTAAGACAGGTGTGATCCCCCCAGTTCCACATGAACCCACCTGAGCTCACCTGAGCTCATCCCTGATCTCACCTGAACTCACCTGAGCCCACCTGAACTCACCTGAGCTCACCTGAGCTCATCCCTGATCTCACCTGAACTCACCTGAGCTCACCTGAACTCACCTGAGCTCATCCCTGATCTCACCTGAACTCACCTGAACTCACCTGATCTCACCTGTGCCCACCTGAGCTCACCTGAGCTCATCCCTGATCTCACCTGAACTCACCTGAGCTCATCCCTGAGCTCACCTGTGCCCACCTGAGCTCACCTGAACTCACCTGAGCTCATCCCTGAGCCCACCTGAGCCCACCTGAACTCACCTGAGCTCATCCCTGAGCCCACCTGAGCTCACCTGAACTCACCTGAGCTCATCCCTGAGCCCATCTGAGCCCACCTGAGCTCACCTGAACTCACCTGAGCTCATCCCNCCCCTTAATTACCCCCAGACCCCCTTAATTAACCCCAGACCCCCTTAATTAACCCCAGACTCCCTTAATTACCCCCCTAATTAACCTCCCATCCCTTAATTACCCCGGATCCCCCTTAATTACTCCCCTGATTAACTCCTAATCCCTTAATTAGCCCCAGACCCCCTTAATTACCCAGCGTAATTAACACCCAGGCCGTTAATTACCCCGGACCCCCCTTAATTGGCCCTCTAATTAACCCCCATCCCCTTAATTGCCCCGTTAATTCCCCACAGACCCTCTTAATTACCTCCCCTAATTAACCCCGCCCCTTAATTACCCCCAGACCCCCTTAATTACCCCCCTAATTAATCTCCAATCCCTTAATTGCCCCCAGACCCCATTGATTACCCCGTTAATTACCCCGGATCTCCCGTAATTACTTCCTTAATTACCCCCAGACCCCGTTAATTAACCCCTGGACCCCCTTAATTACCCCCTAATTAACCCTCAACCCCTCAATTACCCCACGACCCCGTTAATTACCCCGTTAATTAACCCCAGGACCACCTTAATTGCCCTTAGACGCCGTTAATTACCCCCGGATCCCATTAATCACCCCAATTCCACGTTAATTAACTCATTAATTACCCCCAGACCCCATTAATCACCCCAATTCCACGTTAATTAACTCATTAATTACCCCCAGACGCCATTAATTACCCCAATTCCACATTAATTAACTCATTAATCACCCCAATTCCAGATTAATTAACTCATTAATTACCCCAGACACCATTAATCACCCCAATTCCACATTAATTAACTCATTAATTACCCCAATTCCAGATTAATTAACTCATTAATGACCCCGGATCCCATTAATCACCCGATTTGGCGCTAATTAACGCGCTAATTAATGAATTTCCCCGCACCCACCGAGCAGCGCCAGGAGCGCCCCCAGCGCCGCCGCCATCTTGGAGCCGCCAGGTGAGGGCGGGGCCGGCGCACCTGGACACGCCCACTTCCGGTTTCACTTCCGGGTTCGAGGCCACGCCCACTGCCTTATATGGGGGTGGGGGGGATTGAGGGGGAAAAATTGGGGAAAAAAATTGGGG